GTCCATCTCACTGAAAGACTTGAAAACATTAAAATTCTAGTCCTAAAAGCTAGTTTCTTGAGCAAGGCACAAGGCTTTTTTTTTTTTTTTTTTTTTTTTTTTTTAATTCTACCACTATAAGACAGAGACTGAAGGTACAGAACTCTGTTTTTAATGATAGTCTTGTTTTTACCAGTTTATTTGTCTTTCTCCATTTTAATATCTTTACAAAAATATGCCATGATACCTTGGAATGCTCCCCAATGTTCTGTAGTTTTAATATGACTTTACCAGTTGAAAGTGCTCATATTTTGCTCTGTTACCTCACTCATTAAATTCACCAAATAAAATGTGAAACAACCGAGGCTAATCTCAACTGCTTTACTTTCATTAAAGATTTCCTAGACATTTTTCCTCCTCTCTCTTCCTGGAAAGATACAAAACTCTCTATAATAAGTTGCTGTTTGTTGTGTTGATTTTGGTGTATCTCATGCACATCTGTCTGATCTTCCTGGAATCTGTTAAGCCTGAGGGAATACTAACACACTAGGATCCTCACCTTCTGCATGACTTTCTGCTGCGTCATAGCCTGGATTTCCTTTGCACTAAGAGTGTGACTAAAATGATCACAAACTACATGACCTTAGTATATGCACTATATATTTTCACAGCAGTTGCTTGCTTTTATATAAACTAGCCTTTTAAGTGTCACTGGAGAGTTAGCTACATTATGTTACATGCTTCCAAACAAATAGCTATTTGTTTGATTGGTAGCAGTTGATATTTAAATCCCCTGTTTGCTTTTTTAAAATCATGATTGATTTTAAGCTATTTTTAGATATCTATTGCAGGATCCCTACTGGGGCGGTCTATGGCTATGTTTGTATGAGATGGGTTATATCATAAAAAACACTCTGTGCTCAGTTATACATTGCTTAGAATATCTAAAAGCAGAGTACACAAAGTTCTTTCTCTGACAATATCTGGACACCATTTTGCCCCACAGGACCTCTAACACAGCTCTCTGAGGCCAGAGAGCATCTACTGACATCAACAGGTGCTGGAACTAATCCTCAAATTCCCATTTCTGCAACACATCAGTTGCAAACTTCCTTCAGAGAATTGGGATAGCAACAATTTGTTGCGGCGTACCAAACAGCAAAGACTGCTGTTCGAGGAGTGTGCAAGGCTCACAGAGCTGAAAGAACAAGTATCAACATTATTTGTTGATTCTGGCACACAGGTAGAAAGGAAGAACCTGACAACCCTGCGGTAGTGAGAAATGACTCTCCAGCATGGAATTCGTAATGAAAACACTGTCTGGCACTTCATGTGCGTGGGAGGGCATTTCATGCTCTGTCAGGAACTTAATGCAGCAACAATGAAATTTACTGATAGAAAGGTGAGTGGGAATGCGTGACTACTCTAGAACTCAAGGAAAACCAAGTTTTATGTAGTTTTAGAAAGTATGATTTAAGAACCTTCCTATTTCTGTGTAATTTAGCCGCTCTTTTTTCAAGCACAGTTGGTCTAAAAGTAAGAAAATTTGTGCTATTATACTTGAAACAGAAGAAAACGCTCATCTTTTAACAGCTGATATCAATATTCATACAGAATGTACACATTAAAAACATACTCATGGGGTTACCTGCTTCCCTGTTTCTTTACCTATTCTCTAACTATTTACATGTTGCTACTTCAGCTTTACCTATGATTCCCATCCACACCACGTACACCCTTCTTTTTCTCTAATCACTGAGAGATCAAAGAGTCTCTACAAAGTGAAGCACAAAGTTCAAGTCAAATTTTCATCCCTTATGTCAAAGCATCTGAAAACAGCTCATTTACCCCTAGCAATTAAATGCAAGCTTCACCATTACATCAAACATTTTGTAACCAGTATTTCACAAGGTCGTTAAAAGTCTTATGACTATATAGCCAGTGTACAGCTGCTACTTCTACCACGCACAGGGTTTTGCTGCCATTTTATCTAAAGAGTTGAAAAACATCAGAGTATTTTAAAAAAATTACAGTTTCCATCGCGAGGTCCCTCATATGATTTCTCCCTTCAATCTTCTTTCCTTGATGGCACATTGTTCATTTACAGTTGACACAATTCTCCTGTTCTCTTCACCAGCATGCTTAACTAGTCATTGAAATCTGTCACATTAAGCAAAATATTCCATTGCAAGATGACAAATTCAATAATTTCTTTACAAATTCAATTGCATCATTTAGAAGTACTGGATATGTAAGGCTTGTGAAGTCACCTCAGCTGCAGTTTATTTACATCTCATCACTAATAAATACTTGCCAACTTCTGTAAACTGAAGACAGATTCCAATACATTCAAATGTCTTAGTGTAGATATTGCACACACCCATTCCATCACCTATCTGGTCAACAGTTTGGAAAACAGTGTTTCTAAACCATACTATTCTTTTTATTCGTGCCTGCAATCATTTTAAGATCATTCATATTTTGTACTTCAAAGAATTCTTTTACAAACAGCCAAATGACTTGGTCGCAGTAGCAAGAAAAATCTGCAGCACTTTTTTTGGCCTTCTGCATATATACAACTTCAGTTCAGAAAGGCTGGAGATTTAGGACTATATTGGATTTGTTATTCATAGGAAAAAAATATAGTAAGAAAAGGTAAAGTTGAGAAGCAAATAACAACTTGAAAAAGATAAGCTTTCTTATTCTCACTGCTGCTAGTAGGAATCAGAATTTCCAAAGTAAGAAGTACATGATCAGATATGCAACTGAAATCCCATGCCACTTTACAGATATTCACAGCTAACTGTACAAACAATACGCTTAAAACCACAGAAATAACTCAGCATAAGGCTACCTATACATTTTAATACAGCTGTAATTTTCCCCTCCGCCTTCTTAATGGCCTCAAATTCACCAACTGCTTTAGGAAGCTGACTACATGCTCATTTGCAGAGGCTAATAAAATACACAGACCAGCCTATCTCAATACAGCATACTGCAACCTCCACTTGTGCATGGCAAGCTTCCACACAAGCACGCAATGGAAACAGCTGAACAGCAGAGCCATTATGTGCCTAAAAGCATGCCCAACACAGCTACTGCAAGGATTGCACTGGCTTGTTCAATTTAGCACCTCCACCTCTGCACAAGCAGCTGTTACCGCACACACAGTTAGCCTCATTAAAAGAATCCTACACACCAGTGTCTTTCAAATTCATCCCTGCATTTTTACCTTAGCTTTCCAAGCTTTCCAAGAAATGTGACCAAGGCCACCGAGGAGGCCAAAACTAAAGAAAACATTGTTTGTAAGCACTATCACTGTCGCTAAAATTGAAATACCAGTACCAGGAATAGTTAGTCTATTTGTGCTACAATGTGGCAACGAATAAGATAAAAAAGATCCAATTTTCCTTTGGAAAGACAAATAAAACACTAAATATCGTGTATGGAAGAGTATTTTTTTTTAACCAATTATTCTACTTATACAAAATCATATTCTAAAAAAATTCTGTTAAAATGACAATTAAAGAGTGCCAGAAACATATCTGTTGAGTTAGATGCAGCCATAATTCAGAACTTGTTTACTGGGTATTCAATGATGCAGCAGTAATAATTTGCACTGCGAAATATCTCTTCAAAACTAGACTGTATTAAAAACACAGGCTGGTTTTGTTTATGTGGCATGAAATGTGAAACTCTCAACAATTAATTAGAACGCAGAATATTTTTAAATTTCAGTGCATTAGGCATAGGTATCAAAGATTTGAAGCAAGTATTAAGATACCTGACTTATTAAATACCTTAAGACATTGCTAGCACACACACACAAAAAAAAAAAAATCAAAACCAACAATTTTAATTCCTCTGCTACTTGCACAATCAAAACAAAAACAAATCTAATTTTTAGTAAGCAGTACACTAAATTTGTAAAAAAAGACCACATTTCAGCAAAACCTTTGTCTTAAATATGATTTATGAGGACGAAAGATGTTAAGCATAACTAAAGAACAAGTGGAATTACCAGACAAAAGATTCAGAAAAATAATTAGATATTTTGGTTAACAGTAATCACGGAACCATTTCAAACAGTCATATTGCAGCCCTGACTCACACTTGCACTCTTCACATCACATCTTTACCTCTGTCTACTTATAAAAAGAACAGTGCATAGAAATAGGGCAGCAAAATTATGATCTCTTAAAAAAAGGATTAATGCTTGAAATATACTAAATTTGAATAAGTATTTTTGGTGCTATTTGAGGTAATTTTTAGATCTCTTCCTGTGAAATTAGGGTAATGACACCCTATGACTCAAAAGCAGAAACCAAAGTTGAACTCAACATATGCTGGCAATGACAGATCACACAGATACGTAGGAGGTTGTGAACAACAGACTGGAAAAAGCTTTTACATACAGAATAACTAATCGTAGACTTACAGAATAGACTTCAGGCTGTGTAAATCAGACTAGTCACACTAACCCACCATAGCTGTGTCTGAGCTTTACAGCAGGTTAGAAAAAAACAACAGATTTAAAAACTAAAAAAAAAAAAAAAAAAAAAAAAACCACCAAACACACACAAAACCCAACCTGCAAGAGCAGATACACAGGTGACTTGAGACTAAAGAAACATGTTCTGTGATCTTACAATGTATAGGTCCACGGTTTCTGATTGCACACTATTTATGTCAAAAGTGATTTCACCAGACAGCACTCACTCACAATTTGCCATCTTCATCCATTTCATTTACCTTTAACTCAATATCTTTCAATCTGTTCTTTTAATTTATCTATGCTTTTCACACCTCAGAACATTCCTATCAAGGATTTTTCTCTGCCCTTTATTAGCCCTCCAATGTAAATCTAATTCTTCTGCTTTCTTAATTCTTCCTCACTGTTTTTTACCAGTGAAAGCTCATCCATTACTCACAACTTCTACACTACATCTACCATGAAAGTCTTCTATACTCAAGCAACAAAACACAGGTGTTATTCAGGATATAATTAAAAGGATCCTTACCTTTCCAAAATCTCTCACATCAAACAAATCGAATGCTTCAAAAAGCTCACTCTTCTTCATTCCAAATATTTCACAACATGCCGAAAGAAAAGTCCTTATATTCTTCAAGCAAAGAAACTAGGGGAAAGAAAACAAAAATAATAAGCATCAAGTGTGTCAATCACCAACTCGTGTGCTCACTTTGATCATAAGTACATTGCAAAATTCACCAATACAATTATTTTTAAGTCAGCACTTCCACTATGCTGTGATCTTCCACTGGCTCTTATCCAGCCATAAAGGTTCCCTTCAGACTCAAAAGTGTTAACCAAATTCTGAGTAGACACTTGGTGAACAGAAACTATTTTCTCTCTTTCTACGTAAACAAAGAGAAATGACAATATGCTACTAGATACAAATTAGTCTAAGTACAGACTTACTTTTCAGTTCTCTACTGACAGCATAGACCAAAACAAGAGTACTTTAATAAAATTATATTAATATGAGAAAGTTACTCTTCATCTATACATCAAGCATCTTCAGCTGTTAAGATAAAAGTCTAGTTTGAATGTTTCATGAACATGCACTGTTTTAACACACTAATGACATTATGAATACATATTCTCTATCTGGAACAAAGGAGCAGATGAAATTTGCAGTTGATAAGTAATTTACAATTCAGCTAGCAGAGATTTAAGATGCTCAAACCACCTTGATTTCTGTACTGAATCAAAGGCTATTTCCCCTTGAAGTTATCCACACGCATCAATGATCATCTGAGTCTGGAAAAGAATAAAGCTTCTGCCACAATGCTCTACTTACAAGGTTTTTAATGCATTTTCCTGAAGACTATTTCTTTGAAAGACCTTACCAGTACAAAAGATAGCAACTATCAATAGCATTGCAATAACTAAAGAGGGATAGCTGATAAGTGCAATATCCTTTCTTGATAATGATTAGCAATGATAAGGTACTAGTACCTTATGAGGACATTAGCTCCATAAAGATGCTGTTGTAGTCTTACAATCCACTCCATAGTACAGTTCAAAGGCGAAGATGATATTTATAAGCAACAGTATTTCAAATGACCCAGCATTGTGCTTTGAATATGCATGTTAAAATTACTGATATAGCAACTCAATAAAACTGGGTTCCTAGAGTACTCCATGTTATACTGGATTCATAAGAATGAGGATCATTTACATTAGGACAGATTATAGGATTTCTCTATGTTAGAGCTTAATGTTGTTTATAAAAGCAGAGGGGGGTTAAGTAATACTGACTGTCACAGCCATACCTTTCCTGAGCGCAAAGTAAAAAATACCCAAATTGTTCCCTCAGAAAAAACATGTCACTGTTTCCCTTCAGCATAAGACAATAAAATACCAATTCAACAGGGAGGCCTACCTCATGTCTTACATAGAACTAGCCAGCCAGACACTGAAAAATCAGAGCACCTAATAGACCACACTTACAGAAGGGTTACACATGCAAAAGCACCAATTCAACAACAGAACCTTCAAGAGTAGACAACTCTAGAGATGGTTGTAGACATCAAGACAACAGCTGACAGTCATTACAAAGCATCACAAAAGCAATCCCTGCACAAGGCAAAGCTCCCAGGAAGGCATCAGTGACTGACAACTGCCATATCAAGTGTAAGGGGCCACAGACGTACCAGGTGGAGCTGCAGCCTCCACCCTTCCCTCCGCTCCCAAAGAGCCCAGGCTGCATGTGCTCCCAGCAAACACAGGGCAGCCGGGGCCGGGCTGCATACTGGGCTGCTCGAGAACACTGCAGTTATGCCAGACTGCTTTTATGCCTAGTGAAATTTGACAAATTAGTCTAGCTTGCTTAGTCAACATCACAACCTTCTCCAGCTTTGCAAAGATTACAATTTTCAATTCAAAATGACGAGGTTAGAAGGCTAAGATATGTAAAACATGCGCTTCTTCCACCATGACACTTGCAGAAAGAACCGGATGAGCTGGTTTGGGAGTCCACAAGTTTAAAAACAAGATGGCACATACAAAGTTACTATTTTTTTCTGATCTATTTTTTCCCCAGGTTTTGAATTACTTTTCTTAAGAGCCTCAAGGGCCACTAGGCTTCTCCAATGCTGAATACTGATTCAACTTCAATACCAATTTACTTTCTTACATTCAGATTCTTACAACCACTGACAAATTTTTTCTTCACCAGAAAAATCAGCTGCCTTTTTAAAACCTAAGTTTTGAGTCTGGATTAGTTAGTGCTGAAGCCTGCCAATGCAAAGAAATCTTACAGCTGCATTAAGTTGTTTATCTTTAAAGAAAAGAAGTAGTTAAGGGAGAGACAGGAGCCCTCATGGGCCTATAATCTGGCCTACGTTTGCTAGAGAGCATTTTAGTGAGTTGCATTTAGCTTCTTAATATAGCTAAAAGAACTGTTTAATGTATCAGCAGTTATGCACAAACAAATACCCTTCCAATTCTGCAAAATTTCTCCAATTAGTAACAGAGGTCTCCTTAATCAAAGATGCAGCTGGCAGCATTTTTTCAACAAGATTTATTAGTTACTACAAATTTGGCGGGGAATTTGCGACATCAACCTTTTGTGTTTAAATTATCATTACTATGAATTATATGCAAATAGATGGGACAACATATTCCAAGAAATTAAGTTTCCCTTAGCCCACATGTTTTAAAGGAAATGTTAACGTATATACCCTGTAAGTAATAAATTAAATTCTTTAGAATATTCTAACAGAGAGAAGAATCTAATCCCCCCCCCCTTTTTTTTTAAATAATCACTAATTTATTAAGTGGTAAAGAGCACTTAATACGTGTCATATGTTAAACAGATTTGACATAACTATAATCTAATATTCAATAGCCATATGACAACACAGCAGTTACAGTACATTTCTTACATGCTCTAGAAACCACAGACTAAGCATCTGTCAAAGCTACCTGCACTTGAGATGGGGCCACATCATCAATGGGTGTGCGCCAAATGCTGCTTTTAGCAGAACAGGCCTCCTGACAATACAGCCTAACCCCTCTGCTAGTTCAAACACTGCTTGGTGAGTTTAGCTGGGCATCTAATGATTCAGTATCCATCAATTTTCTCTTGTAAAATGAAAAGCTTATTACTAAAATATTAAACTAACCACAGTAGCTACAAGGATAAAACTGTGACATTAAAACCAAAAATCTGTTCATATTTATATGCACTATTTTGCAGTAAAATATATGATGGGAAAAAAAAAAAAATCTTTAAAAGGAACTTGTTATATGGTATTCATGTTTTGGAAAAGTTATTTAATTATATTACCCAGAAAACTGTCAGAAATATATCCAAAACTTTATATTGCAATCATCTAAATAAACAGTTTTCCTCAATGAAAACAAAGATTTTTATCACTGTGGTTATTGTCTGAAGAAGTACCAATTAGTAAAAGAAACCTCCAAATTAAAAAACAGCATACACCTAAAATCTAGGAAGTTCTATAAAAGACAATCCTCCTCGCTGGCAATAAGTAAAAGGCACCATCATTCTGCAGTCTCTCATTAGTAAGTACAGTCCTCAGGATATTTGGAAACCTTCTACATTATTGTGTTTCTTTTTCAAAGAAAAACATTATCCTTCGGCACACCACAAGGTAGATCATTAAAGGCATAAAGAGCAGTTGGGTACCCAGTTCTCTTAGAGATGCGAGGAGAGCTAGACATCTCTCACTCAGTCTAATCTCCGAAAGTCTCCTCCACATGAAATGTTGACTTCCAGTACAAAAACCAATTTCTCTTCATTAAAACATAACATAACATAAAAACAAAACATTCTCTTTAGAAAGTTAATGCTGCCTTTTTTTAAAAAAGAAAAAAAAAAAAAAAAAAAAAAAAAGTACGTGGCTATATTAGAAGATGGCAGTCCAGAACTCTAAATACACAGATCAGTAAAAATATTGCGGTAGGGTAGTATAAGGCATGAGTCCAAAAATTTACACTAGGGAAGAGTACAGCTTCTATCTGGCTCATCTCTAGGTATACCATGAGAGGAAAGCACACCCAGCACCCAGAGACAGATCAACAAAATCACAGCCCTTTGGGGTTCAGGACCCTGAGAACAATTTTCAATATTAACATCTGTAGATTATCCAGATATTTCTACAGCATCCTAATGTTTCACCAGCAGAAACAGTTACGCTACTACAAACTGATAATGTTGCCATTGACAGGGCTGCTGAAATGGTACAACTCTTGTGATAAGCCACTGTGATTTCAACAATCTGTGAACAGATTCGAGTTTCAGTGGCCTCTGGTCCGTTCCACACTGAATTTAGTTTTGTAAGAGGCATTAACACAACGTTTATTCAAATTAAAAGCAAGTATGGTTTATATAATTGGGACTGTATTTGTCTGAACTTAAAGTGGAAAAGAGTGGAAAAACCAAGTTATATTAAGTTCTACAGAAAAAGCATGCTGCTTTCTACCATAACATTTGCCACTTTACACTAAAAGAAACATTCATTTGAGGCTTTTTCAACACAGTACATGGTTATGTGTCTGACAGGTATGTATAGAAATATTTTACAAAAGGTACTGCATAGAAATGACTAGACAAAAAGCACAGGCAGGACTGTAGCTGCCCACAGGGAAGAAGGATTTCTCTAACCAGGCCTCTAATGAAGTGAAAGCAAAAGAAAAAAAGAACCCCCCCTAAAAAAAAAAAAAAAAAATCAGTTTCATATATCCTCTAATCATATAAGCTTAGAGGTATTTCTCAGAAAATATATTTCAGCAATGAAGTACTTCAATGGAATAAAGTTTGGTACAGACCATAATATTCAATATATAGATGTATTTTTCATACTAAAAGCACTCTTAAGGGTGCTCAGGGACCAACACAAAGAGCTCTGAAGATCAAATTCTGCCGTGAGACATTTATATGAAATTCCAACATAGCAACACATCAGGCGAGTGAAAACTGAAAGGCCAAGAAATGACAAGTATTTAGGAAAGACTGAGTTCTAATCAAGTGAACTTCCTTTTTTTTTAATTACCAATAGTAGAAAAAAACAGTTATTTGTATTTATTTCAACTTCCATCTCCCTTTTACTATAGTGATTTAGTCACAAGCAAGGAAGAAAGCCTGGG